TAAATAGCTAATTTTACCTAATTGGTTACTTCTCTCGGCTCACCATCTTCAAGAAGCCAAAAAAATCCCAGACTCCTAATGTCCCACCCCGCCACTCATCTTAGTGATTTCACGACCTTTCCTATTCTTCCTCTAATATTTTCAAAAGCTCTAACTCTTCCAACTCTCCTCAGATTCTCCGATCTGCAACCTCCATAGTCTGTATGGTATTTCAGGCTTACTCGGCAACTCCACTGTTTTTCAAATCTTACCATTGCTCGCATTGACTCTAACCTCTTCTTCCTTTCTCCTTTGATTTCGATAAGTTACAGTACTTTCTTCGGCACCAAATTCTCTTTAAAGCCCTCAAGGTAACCATGGGTGGTGTTTGGTTGCATGTTCTAATCTTACACGGTTGTGAATTTTGTGAATTTTCTCTTCTTTTTTGTTCCTACTTCCTAAAGTGGGATTTGTACTTGGCAGCCTTCTTTGCACTGTTATGGCACTATAAAATTTGCAAATTGATATTGTTAACTTTTAGATCAATGATAAAAGTATGCATCAAGGAAAGAAGTCATTGTTCATTTTTCTTTTCTTTTCAAGTTTTATATTATGCCGAAAGAATACAAACAATGGAATTTTAAAAGCTATTGTTGGTTATTTCTTGAGATGAGATCTCTATTCTACTTATGCTTACTTAACTAGTTTATATGAAATTTGGTATTTGAATGTTAATTTTTGGATTGTGAAACCAATCAATCATCCAAAATAATTTAAATTGTAATAGGTACAAATTATAGAGAAAAAAAGAAAAAAAAATTATGTTAAAACCCCTTTTTGGTCCCTGAACTATTGTACGGACCCCCGATTTGGTCCCCAAACTAAAAAAATCCCTAATTTGGCCCCTACTGTTTATCATTTTTACCCCGATTTGGTCCTTCCGTCAAATATCAACCTACGTGTCCCGTTACTTGACGAGAAAATGATGACATGTAAAAACATTTTGACACCTAGGATGTACAGTGCAACAAAAAAATGAGATGGCAAGAAAAAAATCTTAAAAAATTTATTATTCCTTTTTTTTTTCTTCGTTTGTTTTTCCTTTTTCCCTTTCTTCTTCCTCTCCCTTTCCTTTAACCTTCTGCAAACCCTAACTCCTAATATTAAATTCGAGGATAACACAACAAATCAACAGATTAAACTCAATAGATATTTGACCCAACGGCTGCTGGGTTCGAAACGAAACCCAGAACCTCACTTGCAGGAACTCAGCAGCTGCTCAAACCCACCGCTTGCTGGGTTCGATTTCGAACCCAGCACCTGCAAACGAACCAAGCACCTGCAAAAACCTAGCATTCAAATTTGAAAAATCGAACCCAACACCTGCAGTAACCCAGCAACTGTTGTACCTATGATTTTGATGATTACAAAACACATTTGAGTGACTAATTGGTTTATTTAAGTGTGTAGTTAAGTTGCTAAAAGATTGTAAGTAAACTTGGATGGCACTAAAAATAGACCAAAAGGATTCAATGTGCAGAGAGCCGGCTCTAGTAAAGTGCAGTCGGCTCTGGTGAAATGGAATGCAGAAAGCCGGCTCTGGAAGCTGCAGCCGGCTCTACAGGCAAAAATTTGAAGACCGTTGTTTGGCGCGCGCGGAGAAAAGGCGCAAAGCCGGCTCTGGCTTTGTAGCCGGCTGTGAGGATGCATTTAATGCACAACGGTCGAGTCATTTGAAGATTATTAATGTATTTAAAGTCGGAGTTGCA